ATATAAGAAATTCAGTCACTTAGAAAGCTCTGAACTTATAAGTATATTTAAATCAAGAGTGTACTGATCAAGTATAGCTGAGAACATTCAGATATATACATATCAGTGCCTGAATTATCAGGTCACAAAAGAATCTAAGAAAGGATTAAAACATGAGAAAGTATAATATCAGATGAAATGTATAATACAATCATTCAAATAATGAGAGATGAATCTCATAGATATACTACTATGAATATTAAATGAAAATCATTGAATAATCACTGGTATTGACTACACTACTGACTGATCAGTTGTAAAAGCCTCTTCAGAGATAATAGAAGAGATAGTGATAAAGTTTCTACATAATAAAATTCATATTAACTATGAAATACCATGTGAGATTCTATCTGATAATAGTGTGAATCTCACAGAAGAAGTGATAAGGCATTTCATAAGTCAGTTACAGATAAGATATTGTAGAACAACATTATATTATCTGCAGATAAATAGAAAGATGAAACACTTGAATAAAATCTTAAGCAACATGCTAATGAAATATCTAGTGAGTAAGTCTATGTAACTATGAGATGAATATCTCAGTCAGGCACTATTAGCTACACAAATTCAGCAGTATACAGTCTTCAAGTATTCATCATTCTATCTGTTGTATGAGTTGCATTCACACATCTCAGAGAATGCTTCAGAACAAGTGAGAGAGAGAATAGTAATTACAGACACAGTAGTAGTAGTTGCAGACACAGCAGTCACAGACACAGCATCAAGATTGAAAGAAATCAGTCACACACATACAAAAGCTAACAAGTTACTTCTGAACTGAGTAATTCAATCAAAAAGAATACAAGACTCACTAGTTAAGAAATCAAGTCTTAAGATGAAAATATGAGTTCTTATATATAATAAGAGTTCTGAGAAGTTTCAACCTAGATAGTTTAAGCTTGTATAAAATACTCACATCACATTCTCTGAGAATATACACATTGAAGAAATCAGAGAGATAAATCTTATACAACTTGATAAATAATTCACATCTTATAAAGATAAAGATGCAAGATCTGAGTGAATTATAATTATTCACAGCACTATTATCAGTGTTGAAAAAGAAGAGACTTATAATTGAAAAGTCTTACAAAGTAAGAGAAATCATAGACACTTATAAATCAGATAATCTTACTTATTGCAATCTTTTCACAATTATAAGAAAAGAATGAGAAGAAATGAAGAAATCAGATAAATATCATACTTCAATAAGTGATGTGACTGTAGCCAGTTATATAATAATATGCTGCAGACAGTGAATGCAATGCAGTAAAGAGCAGTCTCAAAGTAACAGATTTATATATAAATCAGATCACAGAAGAAAAAGAAATTCAGAGTTAAATTTAACTGTTTACATCAGTTCAATTACAGAGATAACAGAGAATAAAGTATCTTAAACATTCACAGATGTGTGAGACTAAGTCATCTTAATCTCTAAGAATACTCAGAGATTGAGTGAGATTAGTTTTAATAAGCTGTTCACTGTAGTAGTCTGAGTGAGTGAAGAGAGATAGTATAATATATAAGATAGAATTATAAAAGATGAAAGCTGCTGAATCTAGTTACTGAACACTGTATTATATAGAGATTATATAAGAGTGATGACTAGTAGATAAAGAAAAAAGTGTAAGAAAAGAAAAGAGATAATGAATTAATTATTAACTGTAAGAATCAGCTGTAAAAGATAAATATTATTATATATCTCATTCATTTTCATACATCACATGTTTAATCTATTCTCAATACCATGTTATCTGAAAAATGTCAAAAATAAAGGAAATCTCAAAACTTGAGATCTGTAAGAGATTCAAGAGCTGTAAGCTACTCTTGTAATAATATTATATACATCTCTGATTTCTCTACTACTCTGCATACATTATTAATATCATTTATCACAAGATTGACTGAAATGTCAATATAGAAATGTGTACACATGTGTATAGAAAAATTGAAGAAGAGCATGAAACTCACAGAATCAGAAGTCAGAGCAGGGAAGGTGAAGGCGGAAGAAACAGAAGAAGAAGAAGATGCAGAACTGAATAAATGACAGCAGAAGTCATTCAGAGCTGAATGCTTATAATCTGATATACACACAACCTTCCCCGCAGAAAAGGAAGAGAGAGTAGTCTCAGCAGCATGATTATCTTTGATTACAATAACCTGTGGCGCCGGAGCAACTAAGAAATATTGTTAGTGTATAAAACTGCAAAAACAGAGATAATAATTACTGAATAAACACTCACTAGCCTTAGAATTGTACATATAATTACAACATGTATGAGGCTTTTCAGAAAGAGAGAGAGAGACATGAGAGAATGCAGAGAGAAGAACATATCATGCAAACAGCTCATTTTCATAATAACATCTCAGATAAGACATATAAGTCTCACACTCATGAGTGTAAAACAGTATGACATCTGTATTCTTATTTATGAAAACACAGATATCATTTACCTGCATCACAAAGTCAGATAATAGATGTCAGAGAATAGACTCATACAGATCTATTATTCTGAAGAAATTTATTGAAGTGAATGTCTCTGTAATGTTAAACTTTACAGTTATAAAAAGTTTCTTGATGTCTGTGAATATTATAACTTTGTGTATGATAAAACTTATAACAATTTTTTCTAGAAAAATTAGTATTAGAAGAGAAGATGAAAAAAGAAAAAACTTATAATCTTAACACTGTTAAGAAGAGAGATAATTCTCTGATATAAATGAATAATTGTCTCATTATAAATATTTGAAATGAATGTAATAATCAGTGTCTATGACTAGACTGGCCGCCGGGAACATGAATTTCACGTTTGGTCCCATTTGGTCTGATCTCATACATTTCTTGGCATGAATCTCACTGGGACTGGCTATTAAAAAAACATGTAAAGTGACTATATATCAGATCTTAAAATGGAACCATGACTTGAAAAAAATGAGAAAGTGGTTCCATTTGGTCCCATTTAGTCTCATTCTTGGCATAAAGTGACTATTTTTAGACATTTTAAGGTTTTTTTTAGACTATTTTTAATTTTTTAAAAAGTAACACTTTTTGATAATGCTCAAATGAGATTTAAAGTTATTTAAAGCAATAAAAATAATTTAAATTGAGAAGGGGAAATCATGATCTCATTTGAAAAATGTGACAAGAGTAGACAGTAAATCTCACTGAGACAGTATGAGACTACTATCTAATGTTAAAACTGTGTAATGGGATCAGTCGAATTGGTAATGAGACTATCAAAAAATCTGGTCCTGGTCTCAGACATGGTCACACGGTCAGTCTATCTATGACTGAGATTTAAATAATTGTATTGTACACAGTCTTCATGCAATAAATTATTCTAGAGATTAGTAAGAAAGATGAAAGTATACATACTGAGAAACATAATTTATCAAGTCTACACTAGACTGACCGTGTGACTGTGTCTGGGACCAGGACCAGATTTTTTGATAGTCTTATTATCAATTTGACTGATCCCATTACATGGTTTTAACATTAGATAGTAGTCTCATACTGTTTCAGTGAGACTTACTGTCTACTCTTGTCACATTTTTCAAATGAGACCATGATTTTCACTTCTCAATTTAAATTATTTTTATTACTTTAAATGACTTTAAATCTCATTTGAGCATTATCAAAAAGTGTTACTTTTTTAAAAAATTAAAAATAGTCTAAAAAAAACCTTAAAATGTCTAAAAATAGTAACTTTATGTCAAGAATGAAATTAAATGAGACCAAATGAGACCACTTTCTCACATTTTTCAAGTCATGGTTTCATTTTAAGATCTCATATATAGTCACTTTACATGTTTTTTAATGACTAGTCCCAGCGGGATTCATGCCAAGAAATGTATGAGACCAGACCAAATGAAATCAAACATGAAATTAATGATCCCAGCGGCCAGTCTAGTCTACACAATATCTTCTTGAAACAGGGGAAGCTGGTAATGAAAGTGAAAGTGATGGCAGAGATAGTGAGGACAGAAGTAGCAGAAGTAAGAGTAGTAGAAGTCAGAGTAGAGAGAGTGAGAGAATAAGACACAGAGACAAGTGTAGATAGACTGGCCACTGAAATCATGAATTTCATATTTGATTTCATTTGATCTGATCTCATACATTTCTTGGCATGAATCCCACTGAGACTAGTCATTTAAAAAACCTGCAAAGTGACTATATATCAAATCTCAAAATGAAATCACAACTTGAAAAAAATGAGAAAGTGATCATATTTAATCTCATTTAGTCCCATTCTTAGTATAAAGTTACTATTTTTAGATATTTTAAGGTTTTCTTTAGACTATTTTTAAATTTTTAAAAAGTAACACTTTTTGATAACACTTAAATGAGATTTAAAGTCATTGAAAGCAACAAAAATAATTTAAATTAAGAAGTGAAAATCATGGTTTTATTTGAAAAATGTAATAACATTAGACAGTAAGTCTTACTGAGACAGTATGAGACTACTATCTAATGTTAAAACTGTGTAATGAGATCAGTTGAATTGGCAATGAAACTATCAAAAATTCTGCTCCTGGTCTCAGACACGCTCACACGGTCAGTCTAAGTGTAGAAGATTGAAGAAAAGTAGCAGAGAAAGAAACAGAGAAGGCAGAAGAAGATGCAGAAGACTCAGTCACATATAATATAAGCAATTTCTTCATTATCATTTCTCTCAAGTTCTCAACTGATGATTTAATATTGAGATCATGATTATTAGCAGACATGAATCTGTTAACATGTGAAGATTCTACATAAATTAAAAACAAACATATAAGCATCTGTGTCCATGCAAAACACAATCAGAAAACATAATCAAGAAACACAATCAGATATCTGCTGAGAAAAGAAGGTTGAGAGTGTATAAAAAGATGAAGAAGATATATCATTTATAGTAGTACATTCTGATAATTATTAGAAGATAAATAAGTTCTGATCTCATTTCACAACATATTACACTTACTGCTAATAAACTGCCTGATATGAGTACTATGATGACACTTGTTATGAGAACAGAGAATCATTGCCAGAAACATGTACAATGTGATAGATAAATAGATAAAAGATGTTGAATAGAAGAAGAAGCAGAAATCTTGAAGAAGATAATAACATTTAATAATAATGATAATGAAGAAGATAATTAGAGAATGAGAAAAGTTAGTAAATGAGTGATGTAATACAGTGAAGGTTTCTTTATGAGAGTATATACAAAATGCTAGCTGAATCAGAGATAAATTATACAATTGCAAATACTAGTAACATGCTAATTCACATGAAGCTAGAGTGCATATTATAATCACATGAGTGTGACTGAATCTGATGAAGAAGAATGTGATTTGAAAGAATATAAAACTGCTGAATAATAACATGACTGCTTCTGAACTTGCTTATAAATGTAAAGAGGTCATAGCAGCCATCAATTAATTTAGTATACTGTATATAAGAAGCCAGCGTACGCCTGTAATCATACGTCTTGGAGGGTAACGTTGTTCTTTTATGTTGTAATCTAACTACGCGAGTTACACTAAATAGATAGGTTGGGGTGGCACGTGACTAGGGTAGGTGTAGTAATCACCAACACCTCCTCTTGCTACACCGTGGCCTATAATAAGCCATCACCCGGGGCCTCCCCCATCCTCAAATCTTTCAAAAATGCAATAATAATTAATTACATGAATTAGACCCTGATTTCCTCATTAGGAAAGACATCTGTACAGCAATAACTGTAAAAATCAAGAAATACATATAAAATTCATTGATCTGCTGTATCATCATTATCATTCAATCATTCCTTCTTCTCAATTTCCTGAATGCCAACTCTCTTGACAAATTCTTCAAATGCAGGCTTCATCAGTGGCTTGATGAGTCCATCAGCTATGTTCACTGTAGAATCAACATGTTTCATCATGATTTCCTCTTTTTCAATCAAATTGCGGAGAATATGATATCTAATCTTGATATGGCATGATCTTCATATTAAGAATTCTCCCTTTACTAGATCAATTGCTCTCTTATTATCAACTCATAGATGTGAGTATATTTTCACTTTTTCATCATTTATCAACCCAGTATCATATAACATATCATTCAATCAGATTATCTCTAGCAAAACTTCCAGCCTTAGAATATGAGTTTCAGAATGAATCATATACAGCAAACTCTTTTGAGGAAAAATGTCAAGCTTTCATGAGAATTCTCTTTCAGAACTCACCAGATTCAGATTCAGATTCAGAGGAAGATAATATATCACTTCTCAACTACATTGATGAAAATGACTGGGAATGGCCTGATCTTACACAAGATGAATTAGAGTCAGCTATCTTCTCAAGTTCTGTTAAAACTGCTGCAGGTCCTGATTCAATTAATCACTTGATTATTCAGAATACATATTCCTACTTAAAGAATGAATATTTTGAGCTCTTTTTCAATCTCTTGAAAAATGAATATTATTCTGAATGCTGGAGAGAAGCTACTGGAGTGATTCTTGCAAAACCTAATAGAAAAACTTCAATTCCTAAGTCATATAGAGTAATATCTCTATTGAACTGCCTAGGAAAGGTTTTAGAAAAGATAATAGCTACTTGACTATCTTTTATAAGCTCTATAGATAATTCTCTTTTATTCAGTGAACAAATGAGAGATAGAAAACAGTGTTCTGCAATTGACACTGTTCTCTCAGTTGTTCATGATATTCAAATAGCAAAGCATGAGGGTCTGGTCTCAACTGCAGTTTTTATTGATATAAAAGAAGCATTTGATCATGTTTCAAAGTCAAAGTTAATTCAGACATTGAAGATATTAAAACTGTCACTTTCTCTAATAAAATGAGTTAACTGTTTTATGTCTAAAAGAAGTATATAACTCTTCTTTGATGAAATGAAACAAGACAAGACTGAGATAAAAATAGGAGTATCACAGGGATCTTCAATCTCACTCATTTTATTTGCAATATACATTGCATATCTATTTAAAAATAGAAATATGAGAATAGTGCAATCTCTGAGTTATGTGAATGATATTGATCTAGTCTACAGCTCAAAAACTATCAAAGAGAATTTGAAAGTAATTGAAGAAGCTGTAAAGGAAATCTTTGTTAGAGCAGATATTAATCAAATTCAATTTGATATGAATAAAACTGAGTTAATTCACTTCTTTTCAAGATTCAATGAGAAAGAACTATCTCTAACTCTTTTAAATAGAGAGATTAAACTCAGTGTAAATGTCAAATGATTAGAAGTATGGTTAAACTCCAAGTTGAATTTTAAATATCATATTCAACAAAGAACTGTCAAGGCAGAAAGACTATTGAATAACATAATCAGACTATCAAATACAGAGAGAGGTCTATTCTTCCAGGCTATGAGACAGTTATATATAGCCTGTATTACATCAGTAGCGGATTATGAAGTTCAAGTTTGATGAAATAATCAAGGGAATTTCACTGAACTCTTTCAAAGTCTGTAAAACAGAGCCTTGAGAAGAATTCTGAGAGCATTCAAATCATCTCCTATTAAAGCAATGGAAATTGAAGCTTCAATTCCTCCTTCTGCTATTAAATTTGAAAAGGTCTGTATGAACTATGCTCTGAGAGTTGTAAAGATGAGCTCAAATCATATAATCAGAGAAAGAGTCTCTCCTTCATTTTCATCAATTAACTCTGGAAATGAACTGGATTGGAATAGATTTCTTGATTGAAATGAAAATAATTCTTCAAAGAAAATGCCTTCTCAACTGTACAGACTATGCTCTCTGATTAAAAATCAATTTTCTGCTTTAAATGTTGAAAAAGTTGATCATGAGAAGTTATCTCCCTGGAGAGAAAAGCTTGAATCTCTTATAGACTTACAAATAAGTGAACTATCAAAAGAGAAAGAATATGAACAGCATTTGAAGAGAATTTCTACAATCAATATAAAGAACTCTATTCTGATTTATTCAGATGACTCAAAAAATGAGAACTTGAATAGATTAGGTGCAGGCATTGCTTATACTGAAGATAATATCAATTTTATCTCAGATTTCTGAAATCTAGGCTCTGAATATGAAGTTTTTGATGCTGAAGTATTTGCAATAGTGAAAGCTTTCAAACTCATTGAAATAAAATCTCATAAAAGAGGAAATTGTTTGAAAGAGGCATGAATATTCTCTGATAGTCAAGCTGCTTTAAAAAGACTTAGAAATAGTCAGATTCATAATGATCAAATGAATCTTAAACTGATCTTAAACTCTATTTTGAAAATTCAAAAGAGAAGAACATCAAAGCTGATAATTCATCTGCACTGGGTTCCTGCTCATATGAATATTCATGGCAATGAATTGGCTGATTCAGCTGTAAAAAAGGGTGCAGAATTAAGCAGATCTATTCAAAAAATTGTGTCCTGATCTTTTATAAAGAGAAAAATAAAAGAATCTTGTTTAGACAAGTGAAATGAAAGCTGGCAGAAACAAAAGAAGAGTATACATTATTCAAGATTTGAAACAAAACCCAAGTGGAAATCTTGTTCAATTAAATGTAAAAAGAAAATATTCTCATCTATAATACAGCTGAAACTAGGACATGGCTATTTCAAATCTTATATACAAAGATTTGATGATAGATTTGACTCAATAGAATGCTCATTCTGCAATACAAATGAGAATCCTGAGCATATTGTAATACACTGTGCATTATACAATAGTCTCAGAGCCAGATTGAAAGAGAAGTATGATCTAAATCAATTAAATATAAGATTCTTATTCTCAACTGAGACAGGAATTAAATACTTAATAGACTTTCTATCAGAAACTCAAGCAGCTACAAGAAAATGGCTAAATTCAGAATTATCTGAATATGAAGAGGAGGAAATCAACCAGATATAGTCTGTTAAAACAGCTATATACTATCTTTTAATAATTTGTTTTATTACAGTCTTTCTTTATTTTATCTTTTCATTTCAATTTCTTTCTGTCTATCTATTTAATGTGTCTATCTTTAAGACTGTGTTCTCTTTTCCTTTGTCATGATATTGTCAAATGGTTTCAAAGTATGAGATGATGTTAAAACACTGCAATTTGTAAACAGTTTTTGTATTCTGAGCTGGAATTTTCTGATTTTGCATATCTGAAATTGATGAATGTATAATAGTTAACTTTACAGATATAGGAAAAACCCTGAGAACTAAAAGTTCTCGGGTAGATGTCATAGTCTCTGACTGCATACATCTATAATTGAAGAATAATAATAATAATAATAATCAGATTATCTCACAAGCTGTCTCACTAGCTGTAATATATTCAGCTTCTGTGATTGATTTGATAATAGATATCTGTCTCTGCAACCGCCATGAGATTGGTGACTCATTAATCAATATAACATAGTCAGTAGTTGATTTGTATTGAGAATCTGCCCCCGTCCAGTCTGAATCACAGTATATCACAGAACTCAGGCTCATATCACTGATCTTCTTCCTGTATAATATGCCATGGTTTTTCATCTTCTTGACATAACATAGAACATGCTTCAACACTGCTCAACATGCCTTGTGCAGATGCAAGTTAAAATGTGAGAGATAGTTGACTGCAAATGCCAGGTCTGACCGGCTGCTTGAGATCAAATATTGCAATAATCTCAATTCTTGATGATATCTCATAGCTGTAAAGTTATCATTCAATCCCTCTCTCTCATCAGGTGAGAATTTCAGTTGTATACTGACTGTTATTGAGATGCTAGCTGGATTTATCTTATTCATGCTGAAATCTTCAATAATCTTCTCAATATAACAGCTCTGTGTAATCACTAGATCATCATTTCTCTGACATTTGATCTTCATTTCAAGATATGACTTAGTCTCTTCAACATTCTTTGCCTTAAATCTCTTTGTAATCTCTCTCAATACTCAGTTTAATTACTGTTCTTGAAATTCTGTCATCTGACAATTATTAATATACAATATCAGATAGATCTGATGAACAGAGTGATATAGAAATTCACTGTTATAAGATGATATCTTGAATCTCAATGTAGTCAGATGCTCTGTTATGAGAAAATACTATATTCTTACAGCTTGCTTCATTTTATATAGACTCTAACAGAGTAATCTTATCAAGCTCTCTCTATCATGCTTAACATCTGTGAGCAGTTGCATATAGATCATCTCATTCTGAGGTAATATGTCATTCAAAAATGCGGATACATAGTCAATTGATTTAATCTTTCATTCTTTGACAGTTGATATAGTGAATAGACTGTGTGATATAGACTCTGATATCACTGCAGCATACAATCTCATATAATGAATACCCTGCTGTTGCAAGAACTCTCTAATCACTTAAAAAGCTCTAAAATGAATGATTTCTTTCTTATTGTTAAATTTCTGATCATATACTCATTTATCTGTAAGAATATTCATTTTCAGAGCCTTCTCAATGACAATATATATCTTCTTCTATTCAAATATCTTAACCTCTTTTTTCATTGTCTCATGTTAATAGTCTCAGTCTGAGCTTCTCTTGGCTTCTGCTAGTGTAGTTGGTCGGTCTGTCAGAATACTTAGAACAGAATCTTTCTTATTCACAGAGTCATTCATATTATCATTGACAAGTTCTGTCTCATCATCTAGTAGATATGTCAGTTTCAGTGCACTGTTCATATCATCATCAGCAAGTATCCTTAAAACATCAGGTTTATTCTTTGTGAGTCTTCTTAGAAGGCAGTGTTATCATCTCTTCATAATATCAAGAACATTCAATTCCTCTGACAGTTTAACTACTTCTCTAATGACATTCATCAGTGCTTATTCTGTTGTCAATTCTTCATCAAAAACAATATCTCTTGCAATCTCAAGCTTTCAGGTTGCAGAGTCTCAGATACAATATTGATGCAGTTCTTAATATTCAACTAATCATCATTGCTTACTGTCAGTTCTATTCATGAGCTTATTGATAATCTTCAGATTCTTCTTATACATCTTACATCCTCATCTGTGTATTCAGTGAGCAGAAGCTTGAACACCTGTTCAAGCTTTAAAAGAGGATAATAAGGTCTCTCTCTGACACTTGTAAATCTTTGTTGATATTGAGAATGTGTTAATTATTATGACTGTGACTTGAATAGCTTCATCTTAAAGTTCTCTTATGAGCCTGCTGTCAAATAGTAAGCTTCTTGTCTTTTCATCTATAATATAATTGACATGTTCTGCAGGGCTGTTGAACTGTGATGTATCAGATGTAGTGATCTTATATGTGATCTCTTTTCATCAGCAGTAGGTCTTTAATTCATCACTTTTAAATTCATCTTCATCATTTCAGTGTAAAGTCTCAATTCAATATTGAGTAGTGATCTCAATTCTGTCAATAAAGATTATCAAACACACAGTGGCCTTACTCTTTGATATTATAAGAATAATTCACCTGTAGTGTGTGACATCATCTGTAATGCTCATTCAATAATTAACCCTCTCATAAGTAGAGAGATTGATTTTATTATATAGTGTACAGTCATCATCTGCAAGGTTCATGAAGAATCTCATTGCAGATTTGACAGTTCTTGTCATTGATGTGAATGTTGAATGTGTCATTTTTGTCTGTACACAGGTCTTGCAGAATGACAAAGCCCTGTCATTCTTAATTCTCATTCTCAGTTGTAAATCTGCTGCTAATTTAGTGATATTTACAGGATTGAGATGATCAAGCTTTTGATGCTATTGTAACATTATGTGTTCAACAATCTTGATATTCTTATTGAGCAATGCTATCAGAGGATCTTTTTTCTCTGCAGACTGTAGAATTTTCACAGATTCAAATTCATTATTTAACATTGTGAATTGAATCAAGTCTCTAGTTATTGATTATTTTTTCAGAATGTAGATGTTCTTATCACTCAATTTAGCAGTAAAACTCAACATCTTGTCAGAAGAGGTTAGCAAGATTGAATGAGTGTTTTCATAGATCAGTTACTTATATGTATAGCTCTAGCATACAAGCTTTTCAAAACTCATAAGATTAATCTCCAGCTTGGGAATGTAGTGAATGTCCTGCAGCAGCAGATTTGCTTCTTTAACTGATATATTCAGCTTCTCTATAGCTGTTGCAGGAGCTGTTGATTTATCAGTCATCTTTAATATGACATTAATCTTCTACAGCACTATTGATATGAGATTCTTGTAAGATGTAGCATAGGCACTGAATTCAGAGTCCAGAACCCAGGTATCTTTGCCAGTTTAATCAGTAGAATAGACTGTTTCTGTTGTATGAAATACTTGCTCAATGATATTATGAACTGACACTGAGCCTGTTTCATTCTTATCCTTATTCTTACCGCAGCTAGTAGGGCATTTTTCAGGAAATTTCAATCAGCAATCTGTTTGAATGTGGTCAATCTTCTGACAATGATAACATGTTTAGATAGTATTATTACCCTTTCTATTCAGCTTGATGAAATTTTGTCCTTATTCTCAGAGATCTTCTTCTTCTTCTTATTCTTTTTATCCTTTCTGTTGGAATCTTGAGCATTATTTACAGAGGTCTTTCCATCAGAGGTGAGAGATTTGCCAGTAGCTGGCAATTGAAGAAGAATATCTTGACACAATTTCATGAAATCATCTTTGAGTGTTCTAGTATTCTCATTCTTCTCTATTACATTCATTTAATTCTTTATAAAAGATGATCAATCTTTACTAATCCCTGTAAGAAGTCTGTTGAAAAACATGAAATCTTTGACATTATATCTCAATCAGATATAATCAGTTCTGATTGTGATTAAATGTTCAATAAATGCATGATCAGAATTGTTTTGTTTTTGATATCATCTCAATCAATTCTTGAAACAGATGAGTTCTGTGAACAGCAGGCCTCTCAGTGAAATTATCCTCTATGACAGACTATAGAGAATAAGCAGATAGTTGAGACTTCTTGAGTATAATAAAGTGAGATTTGACCTGCAGAGTAATTGCAGATCATATGTAGTTATATAGTCAGATATTCTGTTCTGATCAAAAACATTGTATATTCATGCTGACATTCTCATCAGAATTAATTGACTTATTATTAAGAATGGCATCTGTTTCAGATTGTCTTACTGCAAGCAGAATCTCTTCTTTTCATATAGAATAATTTGCAGAGTCAGTGAGTATAACAGACTTCTTTATAGACCTTACTTAATCTCTGAATTCATTAAGAATATTTATCAATGCAGATGTTCTACTCTTCTGTTAAAGATAGTTCATTAAATCTGCACTAAGCTCTTCATTTTCATCCCTGTCTGTCTTCATTTGCTTGACTTCATGCTGAAGTCTTGCAATTTCTAGTCTCATGTGAGTCTTCTCACTCACAGAGCTATTATTGTTCTGATTACTTAAGCTCTCTGTATTATCTGACATCTCACTGATATCTTCAACTGAGTCTTTATATTTGTTAAACTTATCAGACTGTTTCTCTGTGATAGTTTCATTCAGCTCAAACACCTCAGAAGCCATCTTCTGATTCATTATTAATATTAACAGTGATCTGTGATCTTGTATTTACTGCTCTGATGTTTTCTCATTTCTCTGTCTTGAAGACATGTATTCTTTTGTTAAGTCAGGCGTCCTCTCAGATCTTAGATTAATCATGAGTTCAATCACTCAATAAATCATCTAGACATGCTTGTAATGACATGTGAAGATGTCAATTGCATGTTATTTTGCAGCTTTTCATTGTGTAGAGAGCTTCATAACCTCTTAAAGAGTAACATTGTTCTTTTGTGTTGTAATCTAACTACGCGAGTTACACTAAATGAATAGGTTGGGGTGGCACGTGACTAGGGTAGATGTAGTAATCACTAACAATACGCTGACTCAAGCAACCTTTGAATAACAGATAATTAATTCAGTGTAAATTATATAAATACCTACTTCATTATTAAATTTAAGAATAATTTAAGTATTAAATTAATTATAAATAAAATTAGTAAAGTCTTCTTTATATATAAAAGTTATAATAAGAGAAGAATTATTGTACAATTAATTAAAAATTGTTTTACAATTAATTAAGAATTAATTATAGAATTGATAATAAATAATTAAGTAATTTTAAATTATAAGAAAAAATGTATTGACTTTAACTATATTAAAATAAGAAGTGTAGCAAAACTTTCAGCCTTGAAATATAAGTTTCAGAATGAATTATATACAGTAAATTCTTCTAAGAAAAAATATTAAGCTTTTATAAGAATTCTCTTTCAAAATGTATCAAATTCAGATTTAGAAAAAGTGTAAGAAATCTTACTTCTTATAAATTCTTTATTTTTATTTCTATCTCTTATAGACTGGCTGCTGAGATTATAAATTTCACATTTGATTTCATTTGATCTGATCTCATACATTTCTTGATGTGAATCTCACTGAGACTAGTCATTTAAAAAACCTGCAAAGTGACTATATATCAAATCTCAAAATGAAATCATAACTTGAAAAAAATGAGAAAGTGATCTCATTTGATTTCATTTAGGTTCATTCTTGGCATAAAGTGACTATTTTTAGACATTTTAAGGTTTTTTTAGACTATTTTTAAATTTTTTAAAAGTAACGCTTTTTGGTAACACTCAAATGAGATTTAAAGTCATTTAAAGCAATAAAAATAATTTAAATTGAGAAGTGGAAATCATGGTCTCATTTGGAAAATGTGATAATATTAGACAGTAAGTCTCACTGAGACAGTATGAAACTACTATCTAATGTTAAAACCATGTAATAGAATCAGTTGAATTGATAATGAAACTTTTAAAAATTCTGATTCTGGTTTCAGACACGGTCACACGGTCAGTCTAATCTCTTATGTAATTAATAGAGTTAGCAGCTCTTCACTATATATAACTACATAGACTGAAGTTCATAAATACTATTTGTAACTCAGCTTAAATACAATGTAAGAAATTTCACTTTCTACAGATTCTTTACCTCTATTTCTATCTCTTATATAATTAATAGAGGTAGCAGCTCTTAACTACATACAACTATATATACTGAAGTTTATGAATACTATTTATAACTCAGATTAAATACTATTATATATTTAATTTCTACATTTATCTTTCTACTGTGAATAGACTGGCCGCTGAAATCATGAATTTCATATTTAATTTCATTTAATCTGATCTTCTACAATTCTTGGCATAAATCTCACTGAGACTAGTCATTAAAAAAACATGCAAAATGACTATATATCAGATCTCAAAATAAAATCATAACTTGAAAACAATGAGAAAGCGATCTCATTTGATCTTATTTAGTCTCATTCTTGATATAAAGTTACTATTTTTAGACATTTTAAGGTTTTTTTTAGACTATTTTTAATTTTTTTAAAAGTAATACTTTTTGATAACACTTAAATGAGATTTAAAGTCATTTAAAGCAAGAAAACTAATTTAAATTAAGAAGTGAAAATCATGATCTTATTTGAAAAATATGATAAGAGTAGATAGTAAGTCTCACTGAGACAGTATAAGACTACTATCTAATATTAAAACTATGTAATGAGATCAGTTAAATTGATAATAAGACTATCAAAAATTCTGATTCCGATTTCAGACACGGTCTCACAGTTAGTCTAACTGTGAATACTTTTATATAAGAAGTCTACGCTGAATAGACTGATATGATATTTATAGATCTTATATAACAAAGTGAAAAATGTTAAAGAAGGCAAAGAAAGAGAAAGTATGAGAATCAGTGATAAAAGTAAATATTTAAATATATATGTAATGATGTATGCAGTGAAGCTTCGGGGCAGAAGAATTTATATGAATTTGTAACAGCTGAGAATCAGTGCTCAAGAATGGCTGAGAATCAGAGTATATATATTACAGCTGAGAATCAGTGATTGAGAATGAAGTGATAGAAATCTGTGAAGTGTAATAAAATAGTCTATATAATTAATCAGATACAGCTTATCACATTAACTCTCTCTTTTCAGAAGCAGTTCTCATCAGTCGAGAGCTGCTGTTTCAGATAATGTGAAGCTTAGAGTTCAGATCAGATGATTATAGCTGACTTATTTCACAAGATATTATCAGTCACAGCTGTGAGATCTCTCATTGAGAATATTCTTAATCTCTCACTCAAGCTCATTATCTTCTTCTATGATGCCTGACAGCTGTCAGTTAAAAGTCAGTTGAGAAGAGAATGAGTCAGTGACAGTGTGACAGAGCAAGCTTGTGTGAAAGACATTATAAATTTCTAATGATATATTAAGATAGTAGTTATAACTATCTCAAACTTCTATCACTTTATACTTGATATGATGATAATTCAGTGTATGAGATGAACATGTGATTCATATATTCTTAAGATTCAATCATATCAAGTCTTCTAGATTATATTGTTCAGTGAGATCTCAATGAACATTGATTTAATTCTCTTAATCTTGTTTTGTAATTGTCATGAAGATCTCTGTTTAGTCACAGACATCTCAGAGCTTCATTACTATATTATCAGCAATCTGAATCAGACTGTGAGAATTCAGTGTGAACTGTGTAATTTCTAGAAGATTCAACATCTTCATGTGATAATTATATATAAGAAAGAACAGGCTTATATCTGTTGAAATAACATTTCAATCATTGATAGTGACCTCTGCATGTAGATGAAGATCATATCAATCATCTTATAAGTAATTACAGAACTTACAGAGATAATTCTTTACAGTTTGAATTAAACTGACCGTGTGACCGTGTCTGGAACCAGGATCAGAATTTTTGATAGTCTCATTGCCAATTCAACAGATCTCATTACACAGTTCTATCATTAAATAGTAGTCTCATACTGTCTCAGTGAAACTTACTGTCTACTCTTATCACATTTTTCAAATGAGATCATGATTTCCACTTCTCAATTTAAATTATTTTTATTGCTTTCAATGACTTTAAATCTCATTTGAGTATTATCAAAAAGTGTTACTTTTTAAAAAATTAAACATAGTCTAAAAAAAACCTTAAAATGTCTAAAAATAGTAACTTTATGCCAAGAATGAAACTAAATAGAATCAAATGAGATCACTTTCTCATTTTTTTCAAGTCATGGATCTATTTTGAGATCTGATATATAGTCACTTTGCATGTTTGTTTAATGATTAGAATTCACGCCAAGAAATGTATGAGATCAGACTAAATGAGATTCAACATGAAATTCATAATCTCAGTAATCAGTCTAGTCTGAATTATCTGTTCTGATGCATTATCAGTCTCAGAGTGATAGACAGTTAACAAACAGTGTGTAATCTTAAGAACTTGACAGATTCTTGTTCAGAGAACTAGACTGATCATATGACCGTGTCTGGGACCAGAACTAAATTTTTTGATAGTCTCATTACCAATTCGACTGATCCCATTACACAGTTTTAACATTAGATAGTAGTCTCATACTGTCTCAGTGAGACTTACTGTCTACTCTTGTCATATTTTCCAAATGAGATCATGATTTCTACTTCTCAATTTAAATTATTTTTATTGGTTTAAATGACTTTAAATCTCATTTGAGTGTTATCAAAAAGCATTACTTTTTAAAAAATTAAAAATAGTCTAAAGAAAACCTTAAAATGTCTAAAAATAGTAACGTTATGTCAAGAATAGGACTAAATAAGACCAAATGAGACCACTTTCTCATTTTTTTCAAGTCATGGTTCAATTTTAAGATCTGATATATAGTCACTTTGCATGTTTTTTTGATAGCTAGTCCCAGCGGGATTCACGCCAAGAAATGTATGAGATCAGATCAAATAGAATCAAACATGAAATTCATGATCTCAGCAGCCAGTCTACAGAGATCACTTATGAATTGACAGTTTCAATTCAATACTATAGATCTCAGCAATTCATGTATCTGATAGAACAGACTTTATAGAAAAGCTTCAGTGACTTGTTCAGTATTTATCTTATTACAAAATTTCAATATTACATCTTTATTTAATTAGTTCACAAGGATCAGAATGTTTCTACAACTCTTACTCTTAGAGAGATCAATAGTGAATTCAATTATCACGTCTCACTATTATTATTATTATTATTATTATTCTTCAATGATAGATGTATGCAGTCAGAGACTATGACATCTACCTGAGAACTTTTAGTTCTCAGGGTTTTTCCTATATCTGTAAAGTTAACTATTATACATTCATCAATTTCAGATATGCAAAATCAGAAAATTCCAGCTCAGAATACAAAAACTGTTTACAAATTGCAGTGTTTTAACATCTTCTGATACTTTGAAATCATTTGACAATCTCATGACAAAGGAAAAGAGAACACAGTCTTAAAGATAGACACATTAAATAGATAGATAGAAAGGAATTGAAAGAAAAAGATAAAGTAAAGAGAGACTGTAACAAATCAAATTATTAAAAGATAGTATATAGCTGTTTTAACAGACTATATCTGATTGATTTCCTTCTCTTCATATTTAGATATTTCTGAATTTAGTCATTTTCTTATAGCTGCTTGAGTTTCTGATAGAAA